CCTGGTTGGGGGGAGAAGGGGGGGATTTTTGCTCATTGAGCCTACTTGTACGTTCGAGTTTGCACTGATGCTATCTCTAAAGATTGATGTCAGATGCGCTTCGGAAAGAAAGGGAAAGGCAACTCGAGAATTGCAACACGCAGCTGCATAGCGGCACAAAGTCCTTGTGCCGTCATTCTGTTGGCTGTCCTGCCCGGGAGGCTTCATTTTGTTGTCTGTGCAGTTGTACGCTACACGAACAGCTTAGTGTTGTTTAATCATAATGATTTCGGTGGGCAATAGCATCTTGTTGCCGTTAACAAGAGAAAATACGCGGAAAATCCGGCTTATCAAATTCATTCGGGTGGATTTATCAGTCGTTTTCGACCGATGAGGTGACGCTTTGCGGCTGTTTACCATTGCCCATCTAATGGACATCTAGCCGTACATTATTTCCCGTCAAATGCACATCAGCACGTTTAATCCCGGCTGAGGGTTTCGCCCTCCTTGAATTTGGGCTTGGGGGACCTTTCTTTCAATGGCGAATAACTGTGAACCCGATTTGTTCGGTTGTAACAGTGCTTCTCTTTGAATCTTGCAGGCCTTCACTTTTCTTGCATATTCATGACGCAGCGGATACATTCAGTCTTCTTCAGCAAATCAAAGGCTTCATTGATCTGTGACAAGTGCATGCTGTGGGTACAGTACTTCTCCAACCTGCAGCAGAATGGCGGAATCAAATTCTGACCTGTTCCAGCTGCAGTAGTAACAGCATCACCTCCACCACCTCAATAATAATAAGCTATAATAATAGCAACAACAGTTACAACTGTGGGAAACCACAGAATGCCATGGAACAAAAATAAGAAACCATCGCTGATACTACAGCAGCAACAAAAAAGAGGAACTACTAGAGAAGGCATATATATGTGAGCGACCACTTCGCGTGTCTGTGTGCATTTTTACTGAATTTCGCCACGGATGACTTTCTGGGCGAGCTTCGGAATGTCCTCTCTAGATCTCCAACCGCCAAATACAGAGCCTTTGAGTTGTCGGCCCACAATGAAGTGGTAAGGCCTTGTGCTTATCTCTTTTCCGGCTTCTCCGATTCTGCACCACTCAGCAGAGTGAATGGGCGAAACTGTGCAGTAGCTCGAGGAAGCAGCATAGTGAAATTAAGTTTGGTCAGTCTTTCTGCGCGGGTGTGAATATACTTTTATTGCCGGGTCTTCGAGTACGATTAAGAGCTGTTGAGACCTGGTGACCCATGGGAACAGTTCAACGAAAAATTCAATAGGGACCCTCACCCAACGATCACTGCTAGTCCCCATCCCTTGCAAGTTGATTCAACTGCACTTCGCATCACGTTTGTGCTCCCCGTGCACTCAAACGCGTAGTCGACGCCGCCTGCGTGAAGATGTAACAAGCAGACCTGGTGAGTTGTGTTCGATAGGATCGGCCGGCCATGCTATGGCGTCAATTAATTACACCTGTGAGGAAACCCCAAGCCTACAGGCTCAACAATCCATATTCACTGGAAACAGGCATGCAATAAATGCCTGGCAGTACACACCGTCTGTCATATCAATTATAACTTCCTGGATCGGCTTGTCAAACTTCTTCGGGTTAATGAATTTTGTCCCCCCGAATTTCTTTGCAACTTCGAGTTTGTGGTCGTTGATATCCACACAAATAATTTCCTTTGCACCACACAGACGGGCGCCTTCTACGCAGGCGAGACCAACGCAGCCGAGCCTGCAGTGCAGCGAGCAGTTTTGGAATGCATGTACTCTACTTTGTAACTAACATCGATTGTTCAACTTATACATGCAATTTGGGTAAAGAAACAATGCAAACATTTTCATTCCAGCTCACTACCTGGAAACGAAACTCATCCCTTGCAGCGCAATTAAAATCGGCCAAATGCACAAAAAAACCATTGTATGCATGTTGAGGAAATGAGTGAATCAGTGTTGAGAAGGTTACCCGTAAACGGCAACGGTGGATCCCCTCTCAACCTTTCCTGTATTTATGGCAGCACCCATGCCCGTTGGTACTCCACATCCTAGCAGGCACATCTGTTGGACAAATGAGGAAAAAAGCACCAGCGGCTCCACTGGTAAATATCCCTTGTGCGTGAAGGTGCGGTTAAACTACAAAATGTGTCCGCACAACATGACACTTCCAGTTTAACTGTACCATGGGGAGGTTTGGGAAGAGTCAGTTGTAAGACTCACCATATTCATGGGGCTGTTATCTGGGATGACGGCAATACATTCTTGAGGTACCACAGTGTATTGCGAGAAGCTGAACAGTCGTAACCACCTCTTCCACACAAGCCATTTGACTTGGCGTTCTGATCTCGTCACAATTAAGCTGCATGTTCCAAGTTCAAACTGCAGCGGGTGGCCTTTGGACAAGAGGTAATATCCTGGTTCTACTGCTCAACATAATGGTTCTAAGGGGATGAGCGTTCTCTCCTAACCTAGATGTGCCCATGAAGTGGTGAATTGGTTTTCCTTCTTTGGTAGTGAAGCGCGAAGTTTTGTCCAATGGCATGACTCCCTCAACAAAAGCATCAAGGAATTTTCCGCAAATATTTGTCTTGTGGCATTCATTTCCCCTGCATGTTCGGCATTTCCGTGCCTTTCTGTCTTCGGGGAAACAGTCTGGCTGCAGGTCGTTTACAGCAAATGATGTTACACAGTTAGTTGGTTAATGGATGCCGAGTGCGTAACACTAAGCTAAAGAACGACTTCTAAAACAGACACAAGGATTGATTCCTCAACCTTTCCTTACCTCCCAAAGGGGAATGACTTTGTCACCGGGCTTGCATGTGACGACGCCTTCTCCGACGGACTCCACCTCCCCACAAGACTCGTGCCCCAGGATGCAGGGGTATACACCCGTTGGGTCAACTCCTCGTTGAGTGATCTAAAAGACACATTTGGAGCTCTGTATTACTGTAGGCGTAAAATCCTAGCATACGGGGCAGGTACCCTGCGTGAGGGCATGCTGAAGTCACCAGTTCATTAATGAACACAAAACGCCTAGTATTTTGCACATCAATGGGCCCAACTGACTCTAGTTCACCTCATCCGTATGGCAGGGACAGGCGTAGAGAATTCTTACGCGAACCTCGCCACGTTTGGGTGGCGCTACGTTAATCTCCATTATCTGCACAGCCAGGATGGGAAGGCAACTTGGGTCACAAACCCATGTTATACTTAATTATTGAGCACATCATTATATATCTAAGCAGACCTATGGAATTTAGTCTGCCAAGCGCAATCCGTCCGTGCTGTCCACGGCATTGGCGGGCGATGAAACCTTTGCCTCCTTTCCCCTAACTCAGCGCAACCATTCACTTTTATGTACAGGGGATTCGCGTTTCATTGCCACTTCAGCTGGTAAAAGGAAACTTACTTCAAAGGGTTGGCCAGGAGACATGACAACGGCCGCCTTGCAGACGATCGTTCCTGGAAGGTCACTCATTCTCCTTCGAAGTTTGAAACCTGGACCAACAGCACTTGTTTCTGCAGGCAATACCTTCACTTTGTTGCAGCATCAATTCATTTATGCCACCGACGTGAGGTAGTGAGGAAAGGAGTTCACGTTGAAAAGAACGAAGCTCCCGGACCGGAGTGCAGGCCAGTGGCTTCGGCGGGGTGGAATGCCTTGGAAGCGCCTGGCGAACTCAATCAGTTTACGCCGTTCTGCTTCCCTATAAACTAAACGATTATTTAATTTTGATTTTAACATTCATTGTGGAATTGTAGTGCTAGTTGGGGACCAATTAGGTGGGTTTCGTTGTTGATCCTCCCAGCTTGTCTGACCTATCGCTGCAGTTGATATCAATGCAAATCACACCGTAAAGCCGGTGATTCCTGTCTAACTACTCATAATGTAATTGAATCTCACAACACGTACGAACTTACTTCCATGCAAATAAATACTGCAATAGCTCAGCAGTTAATGCAGGCGTCGTGCAGAAATGAATTGTTTTCCAGTGAAAAAATTCGAGGGCGGGGCATTAAGCAATTGCAGTAAGAAAACGAGCAAGAAACGCCAGATTTACGACATCAGTAGTGAACACTCCAACACTAATGGAAGTCGTCGTATGCACAGGTCGCAGAAGTAAATTAACGGCATTGTCCTTCGGCCGTGGCTTAATTGTGCCTCTTGCTGTATTGGAGATCGCCATTTTTAGACAATTGAGAATAATAGCTCCCCTTGCTTCGTTGTGAAACTGAAAGGAGGAGAGAAGTGAGGACTATCTTGCTCCTTAAATAGCATTGTTGCTGCCAATCATGACTACCGATATATAGCTACTTGGCAACGAAGACCATGGACTCATTTCCTGTACATAACATTTATGATGCTCAGAAAGCTGAATTTGTTCTTCTCAGGAGGTCCAGATGTTGTAGTTATATGTAGTTACATGTATATCCATGTTTTAATTTCAACGTTGGGGTTGGTAAAATCAAGATATTTTTTAGCAGGCATATGACCCTTCGTCAAGCTTAGATGGCCGAGTGTGAAGCTGAATTGCTCGCTGACCCGATGTGCTGCCCTTCCCTTTCTGCTTATTCAACGACACAATCTTGTTTTCAAACGCTACATTTGATTACTAAACTTCCCTTTTCCCTGGAAACCCGTTGGCATTCTTCTCTTTCTATTCAAGATGTTGGGGTCTCGTGTACCTCGGAGCAGAACTTGTGGCAACATTAGCAATGAGTTCGGCGAGGCTCCCTTGGCACCCACAGCCTAGTCTACACACCTTAAGCTCCTTCTTTGTCTATATCATCCTCAAAGCATGTTGCCTCATCTACTGCAAGAACACAGGTGCGCCAAGTGGTACCTGCCCTCTCTAGCACGCACTCTCGATCTTATCCAAATACCTTTTCGAGCTGCAAGGCAGTCAAAGTATTTAAGATAATGGTCTGACGCCTTTACCCAGATTTCCTGGGCATGGCGGCCCAAGCATGTGGAGCTGCGGAGGAGGTGGCCAGCTCACTGTTTTTTGTTGCATGAACATTCCTGTGGATGATGTGCAGAAATTGAGCTTGCATCTAAGTCCGGAAGGAGCCCAACAACTGCTAGCTATTCCATAGGTGAGCAGATCCTGGTCATTCTGTGTAAGCGGGTTCTAGTACCCGAAGCCTTTTTTGTGCTGCAGTGTAGCCAAAATAAATAAGACGAGAATTCCTTGAGTTTAACTAACTCTCCTACTCAGTCTGGAGCGTCCTGTGCTCAGAAGTTCAACCGCATCTAGCTGTGAGAGAGGGGCGCAGTCTGTCATGAGTTGCAATGGATCTTCGTTGTAGTCACGGCACGAGGCGCATGTATGCACAAACAACCCTTCTTAGCTATACGCGAAAACACTGTAGAGAATAGTTGAGAACTCATGTCTGCGTACTCTTCGCCTATTATGTCCCAGTAAGGGTTCATGGGTTTACTGTGCACAGACTTGCAAAAGTCGCACAGAATTTGCTACAGTACTGGTCTATAGCAGAGTGGTCTATAGCAGAGTACAAGAGCTCGAAAAATATACTGATAGCACGCAGGTTTGACCTGAAGCATACCCTCAAGGGGTCCTGGTTCACAGCACTACAAAAATATGTTGATGGAGAAGCGTAGCCTTGCAGCACTTCTTGTTGCAGCCTTTGCTGCAGGGTACTCCTGTATGCAAGCCCACTGAAGCCCATTCGCTGTGTAAAGTAACACTGTAGCTAATCGTTAAACACTAAGCTGGCCAACAGTCTCTAAGCTGATCGTTAGAAGGAGTTGGTGCGCCGTAACAGGGGGGGATTTGCACGGGCGGTGTTTGTAGAAGAGGAATAGCAATTCCACGAAGGTTTACTTTTTCCTGACTTGAATATTATAGATAGTTGATGAGACAATTTATTATCGTTATGTGAATATGTATTTGTTTGTGCATGCACAGCGACTTGCTGAAGGCTTCCATCAGCCCCACAGATTTCGTCGTGGGGCTGCATTTGTACGCGGTGCTGCTGCGCCCTCCACTGCCGTTCCTCTGAGCTCTTGTTGCCCTTCGTCGGCTCTTCGAGTAAATACATTTAGAACTTGTATTTTTAATACCGGCGGCGGCATTTAGAGCGGGTCGCTTCCATAAAAAACCAGCGAAACCCCAAGACCTCTCTGCCCCGGCAAGATGGTGAAGTCGTTGGAAGAGAACCCGATGCGGAAAATCCGCATCGAGAAGCTGACTCTCAACATTTGCGTTGGCGAGGTGAGGAAATATAATTAAATTTTATTTTTAATTTCACTGCAAATTCCTGCAGCAGCGCAGCTTCTACGGCCTCCTTCCCTGTGGGGTGGTGGCGCCCACACGCGCTGCATGCGTTTCTTTTCTTGCTGATTTCCGCCATTTGTTCGAAAATAAAGAAGAAATCTGTGTGAGGTTTTGTGTTTCTGCTCGGCTGCTGCTTGTTGGTGGCTGGTGTGGCGTGTACAGTGTACACGTCGTATATGGCCAACCTGCGTGTACTGTTAGTTCATATCCGGTCTGCTATTTCTTTTGTGTTTTCTTCTTTTTTTCTTGCAGTCTGGTGACAGATTGACTCGTGCAGCTCGTGTGTTGGAGCAGCTTACTGGCCAAAGACCGGTGCTCTCTAGGGCCCGTCTGACGATTCGTTCCTTCAGCATTCGTCGTAACGAAAAAATCGCCTGTCACGTTACAGTTAGAGGGAAGAAAGCTGAAGAAATACTAGAAAAAGGACTAAAAGTTAAGGAGTACGAGCTCAAGAAGAAAAACTTCTCGGATACAGGGAACTTCGGATTCGGTATTCAGGAACATATAGATTTGGGCATTAAGTACGATCCCTCTACTGGTAAGCATTACATACATCTTTATTCATATATATACGTACATATATATATATATATATATATATATATA